TATCAACTAAGTTGAAATTGTAAATTGGCCACCGTAAAAAGCTGACGTTTCGAGCGTTAGCTCTTCGTCAGAACGAATCTCTAATTGGCCAGCCGCGTTTTCCCACGCTTTATAGTTTGGTTTTGTGATTACGCTCGTTTTGGTTTTCCATTTCTAATAGGAATGTTTTCATGAGATATTTACGCATGAAATCTATGCATGAATCCTGTGAGTAATTTTACATTTCAGAAACTGCTGTTGGAGACCTGCGAGAAGAGGACTGGTGTCCCTTGGCAATTGACATCACGACGGGATTTTGATCCCGAGTTGGATGACAACGGAGAGACTTGAATTGTACTCCATGATTTCCTTACTAGTTTGGAGTTATTAAAAACATTGTAAGGCGTTGAATGGAAACTAGCAGCCACCGAATCCGTGTCGAAGTCGTTTCCAACATCAGCGTGTCCTACGTTCGGCAGCGAGGCAGCCTCGTTTCCTTGAGCTGAACTTGGACACGAGGCTCCTTGACCGGTGCGGCGCAAAGGTGAAGAAACAGGTGAAATAAAAGAAGTGTCAGAACTCGAGAACAGAGACATGGAATTCAGCTCGTGCACACTGCACGAGTTGGTGCAATCCCTGAAACCTCCTTCAAATGAAGACGAGTTAGGTGTCATGTTGTGGTTCGCGCACCGAGAATGAAATTTGACCACTTTTCGTGTTGGACTCGAGGAGAGATCTGGTGTCCCAGATCCACGCTCTGAGGAACAGAGCGACTGAGTAAATAAATCAGGAGTCAAAGATACAGTGGAAAAAATGTCACAACTATCATTTGACATCGACACATCACTGTAACCACAGTGCTCAGAAGATATACACTTTCCGTTGCTGGTTTGATTGACTTTTAGGTCGGTCAAGGTAATACGGTCATGTGTTTTATTCTTATGTTGAAACCTCCCAGGTGTGGTACGATTGATGTCATATTCACCAGTTTCTTCAGCGTGGTTTTGTTCTCGTCCTTTGTTCGGGATTAGGCTTTCAGGCAAAACACAAACAGATTTACTTTCCACTCTGACGTTCTCAGTACTGTTGTTTCCCGTCAACTCGGCGAAAACAGTTTCACAATCTCGCAAAAATTGCGAATCTGAAGCTTCAGAGCTGTAAGCGGTGTCATCCAAGCAGGGCGAATGATCCGCCCTTGACGATACTATATCATCTCTTTGCGCGGTAGATACCGTGGTTATTTTTGGTGTTAAAGGTTTCCGAATTAGCACACTTCCATAGTCGAGCTCCATATCAGCCAAAAATACGTCCAAATCCTCAGAGGAAGGGAAATCAGTGAATTCTCTGTAATCTCTTGAGCGTGAAGAATCAAGCAAGCAACACTCATTTACTACCTCTCCAAACGTTGCATCTGGATACAAGGATTGTAAAAGACTAGCGGGTTTCTCGGAGTTTAGGGCTTGCAGCGACTGTCGATCGTCCTTTTCCAAATCAGCTAAGAATGCGCTCAGATCCTCCGATGATGGAAAGTCGTCATACTCCTGCCATCCCGCCGAGAGATGGAGATCTCTTAGGTCTTCATTGGGATTTGTGTTAAGCAAGATTCCTGGGGTACCTGACTGCATCTGATTAGAGATGTGCAGTTTTTTTCCGTTGCCTTTGTCGTTAAGAGTTAAAGATGAACCAATTTCCCCTAAAAACAGTGAAGGAAAAAATCTTTTTTTCATCCTCAAAATGGAAGATTTACCTGGAAGACGCGTTTGTCGTTAATGGGTTCAGTCCAACTGCTCGAAAAAAACTAACATTGTCGCTTGGAGGGCACGGTTTTAGGTAAAACCGTGGCCTCCAAAATATTTTTCTCACCTTGCCTAAAGGCAATTGTCAAATTTTTCACAACATTGCCTGTTCCTGTTCGTAAGTCCGGCCTAGCCTTTATGGTCATTGGCCCCTAAGATAGCCGCTAACTAAGGCTTATGAATATAAGCGCTTACTGTTAACTCGTAAAACTCCCTAAAGAAGTCTATGAAAGTTAGATGAAACGCGTCGGAGAATAAAGAAGTTTTACAACTAATGTTCGCAGAGTGCTGCTGACTGACTAGTTTAGTTTTAAAAACAATACAAAAAAAAAAAAAAAAAATTGATTAAAACATTGTTTAAAAAATGTAACAATCAAGAGCTTGTTTAGTTGGTGATCATTTCCTATATTCTCATGACCTTAATGTGTGATTCAGGGTTGATATTGTAAGGAGAAATTAGATGCTGGAGTAGTCACTTGTGGTGGTCAAAGAGTGAATGCTAAAGAAACAGGTCCAGGCTCTGGCAGGATGGGCCACTTGGCTCTATTAAGGACTCAAACGTTACATTTTACCTGACAAGGGTCGTTGTAATTTCCTTCTCTCCTTGTTGTTGGTTGCACGCCCACTGTCAGATGTTGGAGCACTGTCAGAGGGAGATTGAGAGAAGCCAGTGAGTACCAGAGGTGCGTTCATGGAGCCAAACTCATGCGGTGAGCAGTAAATGGATGATGCCCTCTTGTTGGATGAAAAGCACTCTGGAAGTTTGTAACTTGTTTGAGAGTCCAGCAATAGAGAGTGCTGAGAGGGTATTGGACTTAATGGGTGAGGGGTAGTGGTAATTCTTTTTAACTCGTTTTCATACTCCTTCAATATTTGCATCACGGTGGGGCTCTGTTCTGACGAGGGTAGCACCTGACAGGCTAAGAGGCTGGGAAGCTCTCCTGCCTGGTGGCTGGTTTTGTCTGGTTTTGGTATCCTTCTGACAATGTTCTTGAGGTTAACTGGAGAGCTGTGAGAAATTTTTGAACCTCTCCTGCAGGGTGGAGAAACCCTGAAGCCGAAGTGCAATAAAGACCCCACAAAGCATTGTTCCATGGCTTGGTACACGACACGACTCCATGGGATGGTAGAAGGTACAGTGGATAAGCTGGTCACCAGCCTGAAATACAAAAAACTCCTTCATAAGCATGGACTAAAGAATATAGTTATAAGCCTCTTTTACCACCTGAATAACAGGAACAGCCTGATGATGGCAAACAGCCAAAAACGTTTGGTTTAAAGGACCCCATTGATAACAGTGCTCCCGCACTGAAGGGCTATCCTGTATAAATATTCGTTATTATTATTATTATTATTAAACATTTTAATAATTTTTTTTCTAATCTTTTAGCCTTGTATATAGAATATAGGAACAGTCTTGTAATAAAGTAATTGTGATATCTTACATAGATTTGCAGGGTTGGGCAGGCCAGGCAAGCCATGATGATCCAATGGTGAACAAGTTGCCAATTTTGATCTTGGTGCAATCAAAGCACCACAGTAACAGCATCTACTGTATTTTTACTGGGTTGCACCAGCTGTTCAGTGGTGAACCCAATGAATTTGCAAATAATTATGACATACCATGCAATCGCAACTAGGAATTCATGGTTTGCATAACTGACTCCTCTGAACTTGAAGATAAAATGCAACACAAAGTATACAGCCAAACCTCATGAAGCTTGTCGCAGTTGTGCCAAAAAACCTGTCCAGACAGCTTCCGAACACTGTGACCTGCCCCAGCTGTGTTCTGTCTGCCGCCATAACACTGATCCTGTATCGATATTGAACACTTTCTGTCCTGTACATCTCCCGGCATCGTTCACACCAGAATCTAAAATGAACAGTCAGCTATCACGAGGGAGGGAGTTACTATTCTGGGAACCATTTTGTAACATCTTCAAAGTACATTCAAATTAGAAGTAGGCTTTTTAATCCCTTCCCTGGAACTTTCCATTCCAGCAAAGGGGTTATAAAACGATGCTGAATTTAGGAAAGGAGAAGAAATGGCTCTCTAGTACAAACGAGACTAGTACTACAAGTTTAGTAAACCGTACCAGTTTGAAGGTGCCTCGTGTAAAGCACTGCTCGTGTACGGTAGTGTAATATAACTTCATTTGAAGCGATTGTAATTACGTATCTTACACAAGGTGAAGATCGCTAGGAATAATTTTTGAAATGTACTGCAGTACATCATAAGATCAAAATAAGTAAAAGAAGTGTTTGGATCACAAAAAACTCACGTCAATTCATTCTCTCGAGTGTGGACTTTTTTACGACACCGAGTACAACAAGGATAACAGAATTTGTCACGCATGGAGAGAACAGTGGCCAGAACAAATACACTTTGTGTTTCCATTAACGCTAACACTCATATGAACCTCGAATTTCCATCGTAAACTTACTGTTTACCTCTCACTTCGCTCTGCTAAATTCAGAAAATCCAAAATGGCGCCCATTTACAATAATCCAATCAGAGCATCGAATGCAACATAACGTTAGGTCCCAGTCCGTAAAGATTCATCAAGCGCAGATTACCTCTCGGTCTCCTTTGACGACGGGATTAATGTTTGATAACTTGAATAAAGGCATATCCATCGCTCAGAGGTATTTTGTACATCTCACCATCAGGTTTTTCATGAAACTGTCAACTAAAGATGTGGCTAGCAGAAATCTTGTCTGCAACAGCAATCCATAGAATACTGCCCTTTTGGAGATCAAAAATCTTAACACACTCACACAAGTATGCATATTCCCCATACTGGTCCATACTGTTCTCAAAAAATTTCCTATGGTGCTAAGAAGAAGAACTTGTGTATTAATCAAGATCAATTTCCAAGGTTGACAAAAATGTGTGATTCAGGGGTTATATTGCACTGAGAAATTAAATGCTATCACTCTTAAGTTCAGAGGATGGGTTTTCACCACTGAATGTGATTTGTAAGTTACTTCTCCTAAAAATTTTTATGCCATCAAGCTGAGAAGGGTCCATGACAATGAAGTAAAGAATCGACTGGTGGAAATTTGTTTGATTTCTCTCCAAATTCTTAGCACCAGGCAGCAAGGAGAATTAAAATTGGGGGAAGGCGACCAAGGAGTGAAATGGTTAGATAAGCAGTTTGATTATTTAATGACAGTTGTATATATAAAAAAAGACAACGTGACTACCGGTATTTGCCTTCAAAAATCATCACGTTTATTGCAAAAACTAAAAACTACTTTAATTCCTGTTTTTTTTTTTTCTGAAAAGATTTGCAAAGGGAGAGATACTTATTGAAAATTGTCAGAAAAACTGTATTACTTACATATTAAAAGGATCTAAAAATTGATGATTTTGAAAGAGACCTGAGAAGGTAAGGTTCAACACAGATTATAAAAAAAAAAAAAGAAATAATTTACAGTTTGTTGTAGCTTCACACGGAGAGATGTTTGATCCTTTTTGCAGAAAATCTTCCGTTGTACATAAAAATATCATGAACTAAATATAGACTGTTTCCAAAAAGCTAATTATATACAATATTTATATGATCTTTCTCCTTTAACAATTGATATTTGACTGAATCAGGTATTTAAACTTATCAACTGGTTTTGTGTGGCTGTAATATCAGTATTCTATACAAACACCCTATGTCGTACTTAATTTCATAAATGGGGAAGTTTAATTCTTCCCATTAGGGTGAAATCATAAAAATGCAAATTTTATTATTTCCAGTGAAGTTCTTCTACATGACATAACAGTTTTCTTTTTTGAGGGGGGGAGGGGGGTATACTTTTGTTGAGTTTTAAATCCATGCTCTTTGAATCTTTGATGTTATCAGTATTTCTATACTCTACAACAAGAGATCAGTCCCCGCGCACAAATTGAATGGCCTCCCAGAGTAATGTCTTTAGTGCCATTTTCATCTGGAGATAAATTGTCTTTTGTTTCGTTACCCTCCACATTTTTAATATTTCTCATCAACTGGGTTGCTAAACTCTCAAACAAGTTTTCTACATTGTCTGCTTCTTTGGCGGATGTTTCCATGGCATCACAGTGTTCTTCCTCCGCAATCATTTGTGCACTCCTGAAATCCACTTGTCTTTCTTGCGACAAATCACTCTTGTTGCCCACAATATACATAAGCACTTTCTTGCTGGTAAATCTACGGACGTCCTCAAGCCAATGTTGTTGCAGGTTGTCGAATGATTTTCTACTGGTGATATCATATGTTATAATGACTCCATCAGCATTGTGGTAGTAACTCTGTGTGACAGAACGGAAGCGTTCTTGGCCAGCAGTGTCCCATACTTGCAGCTACAAAGATAAATGAAATAAATAAATATAATGGAGTAATAAATAAATATGCATATTCTCCACACTGTTCTTTGAACATTTCTTGTGGTATCGACAAGGAAAATTTGTTTAACAATCCAGAGCTTATTGAGTGGGTTACAATATCATTTCCTGTATTCTCATTGCCTTTAAGTTTGAATCTGTAATGATGTTGTATAGAGAAATTAGAAGCTTGTCACTGTTATGGGTAAAGGGTTAAGGATTAAAGCCAGGAAAATTCGTCTCACACTTAACTAGTTTAGTGTTGTGAGACCGCAGTGGAATTTCTGAAGCTATGTCAAAAATTTTTTTCACTACAAATAAACTTTTTTCGCAAAATTGATTACATGTTTCATTGATAACTATATGAGCTGGACCCCTAAATGGCGAGTATTGCAGTTTCAAGATCTATTTAGGCCAAAATTTTTTCACATGCTTCTTTATCATTAGGCCAGTGAATTACTGCTTGAGATAATCAGAAGGTAAAGTATTCGTTTTTGATAAGTAACAATTTTTTGTTTTTGTTTCTGCTTTCTCCTCTATGCTATTAATATATTTTTTTGTTTTCCAACATAAAACGAGAACTTCCTATTTCGAAAGCTTATGAATTTATGGAAAACTATTTCAGTTTGGTTGGCAATCTAATTTTGAGTGAAACAGAACTATCTATCATATCTAACCTAACTGTCAAGGCGAAAATTAAAAATCGTGCATGACAACGGCGCAAAAGGAGGAAAAATATCAAAATTGAAAATAAATGGAAAACAAATTAATGTAATTGAAAGTAAGCGTCGCCGAGCGGAAGCCTATCTATTACAGTATTCCCCAAACGAATGAATCTAGCTGGTTATAAGCTAAGATAAAGGTTTTTTTCACGCAATCTTTTTGGGAAAAAGTTTAAAATTATATTCCACACTAGCATTATGTTGTGGTTTTCACTGCGCTTTTAATGATGAAAGTTGAGTACGTTTTAGAATATAACTATTCACATCCTTGAACTTCAAGAGTTCCGTTGTATTCCGTAAATCAACAGAGGAAGAACTTATTAGAAGAAAATGACTTGAGGATTTATCGATTTCCCACATCCAGTCAACGAAATTACCAGCAGAAAACAGTTAAAGCGTGATCGCAAATTGCATATTGCAAACAAGTACACTAGCCGAAAAGACAGCCGTTAACAATCTCCGAGAAAGGAAAAAAATTCATTTTATCTTAAACAAATATTTTTCGTTCAACGTTTTTCTTGTATCAGACATCGAGAAAACGATTATCATCGTTTAATTCATAAATATTGTGGTTTGGAAATTAAAAACAAAACCGATGCCGCTCACGAAAGCGGGCAAAGTTGAATTTCACTCTTGAATCGAGCTGGCACGGGAAAAATTTGAAAATACGAAATAAACAAGTTTATATCTAGGCACATTACGGAAAGTTAACAAATCTTCGTTTACATTAGGAAAATAGATTGTGAAGAAATGTAAAAAAAAAAAAAAAAAAAAAAAAAATTGCGAGAAGCATGTTACAGCTTCGCTTCAGCGCCACAGACAAAAAAGTTTTATACCTTTACTCTTTCACCATCGACTTCCACGGTTCGTATCGTGAAATCCACGCCGATTGTAGGGCCCTGAGAAGGCGTAAAGAAACCCTTAGCAAATCTTTTCACCAAGCATGTTTTTCCGACGTTCGCATCTCCAATCAGGATGATTTTGAAGAGATAGTTGTAATCATCCATTACACAAGAGAAGTTTCTTCAGATTAGATCGCCCCGAAGTTTGAAATATTCAAATCGATCAGTGTTCCAGTTTGTTTCACCAGTTCAACGATCGTTGATTGAGCACTGAAGAATCAATAGGGAAAACCCAACGCTTAAAAGTAAAATTTTCTTCAACAAATTTAGAAGATTACATGTTGTACAATCACGCGCGAGACCTCTGGAAGCATCGTTTTCAATTGTTTTGATTGGACAAGCCCTACATGACGTCATGAAATAACAATTCCGTGTTTCCAGCGTGGACTTCCGGCACGTATATCTTCAGTTTCGTAAAGTTCCATTTACGGTTTCATTACCGTCAAAGTATTTTTTGTTGCAATTTTTATTTGTTTGTCGAGCTATTTATGGACGCTTGACTGAAAAAATATTTCCCCGCTGTAACTAAAAAATAACCCGTGATTTTGATTAAAAATGCCCAGCAAGCATTTTCATTCTGAAACGACAGTCCCCTAGAAATGTTTAGCCGAAATCGTTTTCAAAAGCAATACGTACCCTTCTACTCCTTCCATGCTTTTTTCTTGTGGTTATGAAGGAAACATGTCACGTTTCATGCATCTTAACGACTTTCCCAGTCTATTTCCTGCCCAAGTCAACCATGTTCCTTCATTTGCTATTGTTGCCACGTTCGCGTTTTCTTTCTCCTCCAAATTTTTTTCTTGTCTCGCCACGTTGCAAGTTTTCTCTTGTCACGAAAAAAGAAAATGACTTGCCAGTAGAGCGATGTTGCTCGTTTTGGTTCCTTAAACTTTGTAGGATATAAAAAAAATTATTTTGAATAATAATAATAATTTTTTTTTAATGATTATGTCAGTTTGCACCCCATTTTCTGCATGCAGTTAAGAACACTCGCCAGTTCCATTTCGAGGTGTAAGGGCGACAAAGCATTGCCTGTTAGATCTTGCAAATATTTCGGCGGTGCATTACCAGGAATCGAAGATTGAAACCCCAGAAAATATAAGACGACATACATGCACAAACAATACCCTTTAAAGTGATATGAAAAATTCTCCAAAATCTGTTCTGACAGATAGTGATGATAGGTGCTGAAAAGGCCGAGGAAGGTGTGCGGGGGGGGGGTGGGATAAGGAGACTAAGAGAGGGTAGGGTGGTGACATAGAGACATCAATCAAGTCAAGAGCATGGCAAATCATTTAATTAACATAAATTCAATAGCTATGATACCTATGCAGTGGATTTATTCATTTCATTCACCCCTTAAGTTATAAGATCCTTTGATTCTTTATGGACTTTTATCTATATAGTATGTAATTATTGACAGTATAATTTTTGATTATCTTTCTTAATGGTTACTAATACTTTTGAGCAGCTCAAATGGTATGTTGAAATATACAATGTTTATATAACATAGTATTATCTAATTTACTTTTATCCAATGAAGTGATAAAGTACTTACAAAGATAAAGCTATTGTTAACTACAAACAGCAATTTGCTAAAAAAAAAAATTTCAGCAAAAAAATAGCAAGCAAGCACCACACTCGTTCAAATCCCAAAATCTCTATTATAAATTCTGCCTTCTGTCTGCAAATATTTCTTGTAATGGCAATTCCGAAAATGAGGTGTTCAATCAAATTATGTCTCCTACTTGACATTTTTTATTATTCTCCACACCTGACTTTCAAAAAATGTATTGATAATGTAAGGAGATTTTAGCTCTTGGTCACTCGTTGGAATTTGATAACTAAATATCTCAGGGTTTATTTTGCAATTAATAACACAAAGTTTAAGCATACAGTTCCCATTTTGAGGGAATTTTCCAGACAGTGGAGGTTGTATAATTAACAGATTAATAACATAATATGTAAATCTCAATTGAAATGTTTATTCCTTTTGAAATCTATTATCATGTGGAGTTATTTACAAGTTGTTCACTTCCATTTTTTCTGCTGTTAATGCATTTAATCCCAAATCGCCTCAAGCAGCTTAATCATATACCAGTTGCGTGTAATAGCCAGGGCTCGACACTAACGATAGCCAACTAGCCACAGACTAGTAAAAATTCAGTTTTGACTAATGGTTTTCGATTTCCACTGGCCAGTTTGGCTAGTAAACAAACTGAAGTTGTTGTAACATTTAAGTTGTCACTTGCCACTTGACTAATGAGTTGAAAAGTTAGTGTCAAGCCCTGATAGCACTATTCTTTTCTTGGAAACCAATGTTATTAGTGGCTTAAAATTAAAAAAAGGAGTGAAGTTTGATTTCACGATGAACAGACAGTAATAACAGACCTATGGTGAGATCTTGTTTAAGTGTAGTGATCAAAGAAAATTTTTGGGCAAGTTCGATAAAACAGGTTCACCAGTCTGAACCATCTTTAATTTTGTCTCAAGTTTGGAAAAAACATGGAGTTTTGAGAAAAAAATTAAAGAGGCTTACAGCTAATGCTCAATAACTCTAGATACTAGATTACTTAATATTTGAAGCAAAAGCGTTGTGTGTCCTTTGGATCCTACTAGCTTGTGACTACATCGCTGGATTTCCAGCTGTGTTTATTCAAAAAAATTATTTGTTATTTGCTGGTAGCCTACGAATCATCTTCAGATGATCTGATGTACTTCCTGTTCCTGAATGTTAAAATGCCGGGGAACCCTGTGGCTAACCAATTACCTCATTGATTGCTCTGTTACCAGCAGGGTTGTCGTGCTGATGTAGTGGTTAGCACACCTGACTAGTAACCAGGGGGATGTGGGTTTGATTCCCTCTCATGGCACAATATGTTTTTTCATTTCAATGGTTCAGTTAGTAGTTCACTGTTGCCATTTGTATACTCTAATTACTATATATATATATATATATATGTGTGTGTGTGTGTGTGTGTGTGTGTGTGTGTATACAGAGATCCAAAAATGAACTGAAACTATAACATAAATAAGAATTTTTATCTAACTGGCCCAGGTGGTTTGAAAAACAAAATGATCACCTAGTAACCAGGGGGACGCGGGTTCGATTCCCACTCATGGCACAATACGTTTTTTCATTTCAATGGTTCAGTTAGTAGTTTGCTGTCGCTATTTGTATACTCTAATTACTATATATATATATTTATATGTATACAGAGATCCAAAAATGAACTGAAACTACAACATAAATAAGAATTTTTATCTAACTGGCCCAGGTGGTTTGAAAAACAAAATGATCACCATGCACATTCAAATCATTATACAATCAAATGACTTTGTGTGAATGGTGATCAACAGTTCCTTACTTGCAAGTGCTTCTTAATTTCACACAGTAGCAACGTGATGATTGTTACTTTAAAATAACAGCCATCACAACATAGCACTCAATTAGAACCCTAGCTAACACAATCAGACAGGCATACATAGATGCTTGGGTGATTATGAACCCTTAATTTGGAACAGTTCAAGGGAAATATATTTTTTCTGCTTGACACTTCATATCACAAGTATTAACTTTCTATAACTTAAGAATCCATGCACACTACAGAGCCTGATGAGAAACTTAACTCAAGTCTCAATTCATGATGATTCACAACAATTTTTCTTGTGTTCTCCTGATTGATTCTTGAGTTTAATTCTTTTCTGTGAATTTCTGAATCTTCCTGATTTAGTTTTTGATCTGGTGCTTTCACTCTTGGAATCTTCACTGGTGTAACGAAGTGGCCGATCCATAAAAGTTTTTGACTTAACAAGTTTATGAGCAAGTGTCAGAAAGATGGATTCAATAGTCTCCAGTTCTTCATCATTCTTGGTTGAAATTTCCCACATTGGCATTTTGTGAAGATCAGCAAATTTTCTTGCTTCATTGGAATTGATTGTTCTCTCATGAATAAGATCGCACTTGTTACCAATCATAAGTTTTGGAACTGAGCAGCCTTCGCCATCAATTTCAGTGAGTCCATAATTATCATATTCCTGTAGCCAGGTTTCTAAAGCCCTGAATGAGCCTTCCCTTGTGATATCGTACATGAAAATAACAGCACTCACATTCCTGTAATAATGAACTACCATGCTTTTGCGGAATCTTTCTTGGCCAGCAGTGTCCCAGATTTGTAACTACAACCAATCACAATAGCAATCTTATTCATTATAGAATGAAGTGTAAGGTCCTAGAGAGTTGTTATTGATATAACAATATAGAAAAATTTCCCCATAAGGGCCATAAACAAAGCTGTAAAAAGCCAAGTACAGGATGGATTAATTGCATATTTGTTATTGACCAAGCGTGAGGTCAAGATGGCTGGATAATAAATGATTTATCATGCAGCAAAACGATTTAAGAATAAAAAATAATCTGATTATTTTTTAGTGCTGGGAAAAAGCCAGTTTTTTTTTTAGCACAATTAACTCCAAAAATTTCTTCATGCTTTCCTTGTTTGGCTGCCTTCTGCCACTTTCTGACTCCATGGCTGAAATTCTCTAAAAATTACATAGTTTGTATGTTGGCTATGCATAATTTGTTTTCTCCCAAGGGGTCAAAGCAGGCAATTAGGTTCTGTCCTGGTGTACTGGTTCACGAGAGAATTACCATTGTTCTTTCTTTGTTTAGGAGTTATCAGTTAGCTATTGTGCATTGTTTGGTCTTTTGTATTGGCTCTTGTGAACCGGTACACGAGGACAGAACCGGTAATTACAAGTGGGCACGAGTAGCTAATCAGAATACAAGATTTGCATTACCTTGCCCACAGGCACTGTCAAGCCATATTCATATAATAAAAGAAAATTATGCTGTTAGAAACAGAGTGGCAGTCTTATGAGAAAATGCTTATCGATTGAGTTGGCTGAGCCAAATTTTGGAACCAGCAGATACCTGGCAATTTCCTTGTGGCACATTGGCACAATCTAAGATGGTTTGGAATCTAAAAAATCTATCAGAATTGCTAGTGGATTATGGAGTTAATGAAAACGCTGGGCAACATTTCTCCAAAGCATACTAAGGATATTTGGTTCATCGATGTTGCAAGAACTATCTATTCACGTCTTTGAAGTAATCACACAATACGAATTGTATCCACTATTAATACATATCTTGAAACTTCCTCGAGAGACACCCAACGGGATACGATGGGAACAATTTAACTACGACATTTTTATCTAAAGATGAAACAATTTTCAGTGGAATAGAAAAATACATTTTTATATCTACGACAAAGACATGAATTGTACCACATTTTAGAAGAGAATTAGTCCTAGTACATTAAGAATTTCAAAAAGACCTGCTACAATGACCAAAAAAATCAACTTACCCGTATGCTTGACCCGTTTAATGTGAGCGATTTCTCCCAGAAGTCAACCCCAATTGTTGCTTCTGTCCTTTCAGGAAATTTCCCCGTCGAAAATCGATGAGCTAAGCAAGTCTTTCCAACGCCACTATCGCCGATTATTATGATCTTAAACACTTGTTCCTTGGCTAAAACTTCGCGATCTGTATCTTCGTCTTCTTTATCGTAAAACATAGTGTAGACAGTGGTCGTGTTTATGTAGAGGAAATAATTGCAGTCATTAACCTTGGATACAAGCGTGCAAAGTCCAGGGGATCTAACTTCAATGTGTCATGGACAAATTAGAGCATTCGTCGAGGAATTTCTCGCCGAAAACAGAAATTCCTTCCATCAAAAATCAAAGCAGTTGAGTTTTAAATAATATGTAAATGCCGCTGGGAAACGGAAAAGGAAAATAAACAAGTTTACCGCGATATTCGTGCCTGCGTACTGTTCCCAAGAGCCGATTCATTCTCGAAGTGTTGCCAACTTAAGGAAATGCCAAATAAGGGGAAACAGCCGCAGCCCGGGATTATTCGGGGCTCACAATGTGCGCAGAAAGACGCTCTCTTTCTGATCTGAAAGTATCTTCAGACCGAGTCGTTTCATCTCAGCTGGGAGAAATCGATCTCGAGCGACAATGTTCATTTTTTTTCTTTCAAAGATCTACACCATCAAAACCTAGGCCTTGATGTTCTCAAGCTCCAAGACATTACTTCCTCCTTGAAAAGCCTGTGGAGTTAACGGCTGTGAACGTTTGGAGCTTTGAACGGTCCACAACTCGTTTTCCCACCTCTAACACCTTTGATTTTTAGCGGGTGCTTAAATCGGCGCCAACTACTAGCTAGGATCTTAAGGTTCCTGATACCCTAGTAAAGCTCCCCGCCTCCCTACTCCTCAGTCTTAACCTCTGTCGTCAAATGACGTGTACGCTCCCCCCGTGGGCAATCCATAAGAAACCAAAGTAAAAGCTGACATGCGCAGGGCCACTGGTTCCCTGAAAAAGCCGTTCAGTTCCACACTCGCAATGCTCTTTTGCATTTCCAGAGAACGTAAACTAAAATAAGACTTCAAGTTGAAATAGAACAAKAAAAAAAAAAAATGAGTGAATAAGTCGCACTTGTGGATGAATCATGAGTTTCTTGTTCTGAGATAGAAGTGAAAAGTTTTTACTGAAGAATGTTTTTACTAATAGGCCATTTTACAGTTGTGTACTTAGTTGCCAAGCCTTTGATTCAGAGTGAGGCTGAAGGTGACCTTGTTGTGATAGAGACCTGTAACTACTTAGCATGATAACAAAGTGATTTACATTTGAAAGGCAGCAAGGTTTGTATGATAACAAGGTCAACCCTAGCCTCACTCCCATTCAAAGGCTTGGCAACTAAGCACACAACTGTAAAATGGACTATTCACCAGCGTGCGCCTTGTCTACTAGTAAGTACGTCCTATTTAGGTAAAACAAAAATTTTAGAAATTTTCAACACTTGATATTCATACCATGATGACAAGCTTATTGACTGAGTTTAGTTGGACCGGAAAGGAAAATATTTGGCTCTTGTTCGGTCATGACGCACAAACCCCGTTGCGCTCAGTCAGTAGGGACCTTAAGAAACCACGACGGCGACGCCAAGGAAGACTTCGATTAAAAATGAATTTCTACTCTTAGTTAGAATTTCAAAAATGGCTGCAGGAGCTTACTGTTTCATACAGCGCCACAGCTCAACTTCAGCATGACGTATAAAGTAGCCATTGACTTCCAAAATGGGAATTAAATTAATTTGCCGTCGCGGTTTCGGTTCGCAGACGACGCAAATTTTGGCGATTCACGTTGTTGTTTTGCATAGGACGGCTAAGAAATGTACAAAGTTTCAAAAGGCACGTGCTGCATGAGCTATTGTTCTGCCAATTAGATCTCTTGTTTTTCCACGTCATCGTTGCCGTCGCCGTCGTGGTTTCTTAAGGTCCCTAGTAAGTCATTACCTTGAGCCAAATATTTTCTCGTATTGCCCTCCCACTCAGTCAATAAGGACCTCATCCGTTAGTGTTTTAGGAAGAACATTCTGATTACATCCCCTATCCGGTTTTTCGTGTAGCCCGTAAGTGGTAAAAAGGAATAAAAAAAAATACCATTTATCATTTCTCAGTTTATTTTTTCAAATTAAATTTCAATCTTAAACTATTTGCTTTATTGTACAATTTCTCAGCTCGATCTGTTCAAAGAAAGTCTCCCGCGTAATTTCTTCACAGATGATATCAAAGCGTTTCTGAACTGTTTGTACTTCCAGGTATAAATGAGAGGATTTAGGCAGCTATTCGTGTAGCCCAACCACAGAAAAATCAAGCTCACTTTGGGGTTGATTTTTTCCTTTTTTAGCGTTTCTAGGAACAGTTTTACACAGAAAGGAGTCCAGCAAAAAAAGTAGGCCCCGATTACTATTAGGAAACTTTTTGCTGTTCGAATATCGGATGCGTGTGGGCGATGTCCCTTGGTTTGCCTAGTATTTAGAGGGATTGGAGCGAGAATTTCGAGAGTCTTTCTGCTTGTTTCTAATCGACCAGTCGACGAAAATGAATTATCCTTCATTTCCAGCTGTCGACGTTTTTCACTTGAGGTGCAACTGTGAAAATTCTGGACGTTTATCCTTCGAACGTGTGAACGCGCGATTCGGAAAATTTTCCAGTAGCAAACTGCCATGACAGAAAGTGCGAAACAGTATGTTAGACCCAACACTGCAATGGCGAAAACGAGAGCTCCACTCGATCCCGCCCAGTCTTTTTCAAGCTCGCAGTTATCCAGATTAGGGATGAAACAGAAATATGAACTTACGCCAAATTTTGGAGGAAGAGCACACAGCATGGCGTAAAGCCAGACAAGTAAAGATGCCGCGACGACCTTTCTCGGGCTGACAAGAGAAATGTATCTAAATGGCTTCGCAATCGCAAACCATCGGTCAAAAGACAGCAACTGCAAGTTCATGATAGAACAAATACAAAATAAAAAGTTTGCAAAGCCGATAAACTCTTTGAATCTGAAACCGAGTGGAAAGCCGCCACTTATTATGGTGTCTAAGGTCGTTGGGATTACGGTGAAGGCAACAAACAGATCAGCGAGCGCCAAATTTACTACAAACCAGTTTGATTCCTTTCGGCGAAGTTCCCTTGTGCGCACAATTACCAACACGACCAAAAAGTTGCCGGCGATCGCTAAGACATTGACCACAAAAAGGGCAATCGAGGAAATGATTTTTTCCGAAGAAGACCAACTTGCGGTAAGAATTCCTGAGTGATTACAGGACATGACGGCGACGGAGTTTTCTTGTTACTCTTTCGGAAAAACGAAACATATAATTAATAATTGACCCACTGAGAAACCCCGACACAGTTCACACCTTGATGTTTTTAATCTTCAAGCATACAGCTGCCATTCCAGTTGGAAAGTTGTGAAAGCGACAGTCACCTAGGCAACTCCAATTTCTACATTATTTTTGCTAGTATAGTTGACTGTGTAGTTCTTGGCAGGACTTCAAGTTAAAATAGAAACACCCTTAAGTTTGTCATAATAGGTTTTCAGCTCCCACGCAGGAAAACGAAAGGCATTTAAAATGTTTTAAATTCATGTATCCGCTGAGCCTGAAAAAGAACAGGAAATTTCATTGAGCTAACACATAAATAATTTTGCGTTCTGAAAATTCAATACAATTTAAAAGTCAACTGTCTGACAGACGCGAGTGGGTCTTTTGTTTCAATTAAATGAGCAGTTGTAACAGTTTATTTTGTTAAATACAAATAAGGCGGCAACTCGGGGGTTTTTTTAAGGCAATGGTCACGCAGTAGAAATCGATGGTAAGGCAAGACATACTTGTATTTACTACCACAGAAAGGGATTTATTGTTTTTCAAGCGGAATCAATTATAGAAGATAAAAGATCGAACCTTTTGTTTGTGTTAATAACCCTGTGTTTTATCCTAATTCAAACGGAAACAGTAAAGAGTCATAAAAATGAAATTTTTGAACTACGATGA